ATGTTGTATTGATTGAGCTTTTGCTATAAAATGTAGTGTTGGTAATTTATTATAGGAATTTTATTTCTGGTTATTTTACAATAAAAATGTAATTTTATATTTTTATGTTGTATTGATTGAGCTTTTGCTATAAAATGTAGTGCTGGTAATTTATTATAGAAATTTTATTTCTGGTTATTTTACAATAAAAATGTAATTTAATGTTTTTATGTTGTATTGATTGAGCTTTTGCTATAAAATGTAGTGTTGGTAATTTATTATAGAAATTTTATTTCTGGTTATTTTACAATAAAAATGTAATTTTATATTTTTATGTTGTATTGATTGAGCTTTTGCTATAAAATATAGTGTTGGTAATTTATTATAGAAATTTTATTTCTGGTTATTTTACAATAAAAATCTAATTTCATGTTTTTATGTTGTATTGATTGAGCTTTTGCTATAAAATGTAGTGTTGGTAATTTATTATAGAAATTTTATTTCTGGTTATTTTACAATAAAAATCTAATTTCATGTTTTTATGTTGTATTGATTGAGCTTTTGCTATAAAATGTAGTGTTGGTAATTTATTATAGAAATTTTATTTCTGGTTATTTTACAATAAAAATGTAATTTTATATTTTTATGTTGTATTTATTGAGCTTTTGCTATAAAATGTAGTGTTGGTAATTTATTATAGAAATTTTATTTCTGGTTATTTTACAATAAAAATGTAATTTCATGTTTTTTACTGTAGTATTGATTGTTATTTTGTTATAAAATATTTTGTTTGTAATTTTTAGGTAATTGCATAATTGGCAATTTTACTGTAAAATGCCTTTTTGTACTTTTTTACTACTGTCATTTCCTATAAAATCTATTACTTGTTATTTTATAAACATGTATTACTGGAAATTTTATTGTAACAATGTACTTTCATACTTTTTTACTGATGTATTAATTGCACTTTTCCTATAAAAATATATTGTTGGAATTTTTTTATAAAAATGTATTGCTGGTAATTTTATTATGTAAATGTACTTTTATAATTTTAACTGTTGTATTGATTATCATTTAGCTATAAAAATGGATTTTTGGTAATTTTTTATAAAAATGTACAGTTAATAATTTGACTATAAAAGTGGATTTTTATACTTTTTTTTACTGTTGTATTGAGTGTCATTTTACAACAAATATATATTGTTAGGAACTATTTATAAAATTTATTACAGGTAATTTTACTATAAAAATTTATATTTATACTTTTTATTGTTGTATTGATTGTCATTTTGCTATAAAAATATATTGCTGTTAAATTTTCATATAAATGTATTGCTGGTAATTTTACTGAAAAAACATATTTTAATATTTTTAATGTTGTATTGACTGTCATTTTTCTATAAAGACATATTGATGGTATTTTTTATATAAATATTTTCCTGGCAATTTCGCTATGAAAATGAATTTTTATACTTTTAACTGTTGTATTAATTGTAATTTTGCTATAAAAATGTATTGTTGGCAATTTTTTGTAAAAATATATTGGTGATAATTAGACTATAAAAATATATTTTTATATTTTTACATTGTCATTTTCTATAAAAATTTATTGTTTGTAAAGTTTTATAAAAATTTTATTACTGATAATTTTACTGTGAAATGCATTTTTATGTTTTTTTTTTTTTTACTGTAGTATTGGTTGTCATTTTCCTATAAGATATTTTGTTGGTCCTTTTTTATGTAATTGTATTACTAATAATTTTATGTAAAAATGTATTTTATACTTTTTCTACTGTCGTACTAATTGTCATTTTGCTACGAAAATGCATTGTTGGTTTTATTTTATAAAAATGTATTCCGGATAATTTTACTATAACGATGTATTTTTACACTTTTTTTTACTGTTGTATTGATTGTAATTTTTGCTATAAATATATATTGCTGTTTAAAAATATATTGTTGGTCATTTAATTTTAAAATGTATTCTTGGCAATTTTTAGTATAAAAATGTATTGTTCTTAATACTACTATAAAATGTATTGTTGCTCATTTAACTATAGAATGTATTGCAGGTAAAAAAATTATTATTATTATTATATATTCCTAGAATTTTTACTATAAAAATGTATTTTTATATACTTTCCGAGCCTTTTGATTTTTGTTTGGGGTTTCAATATTTGCCCATAACTGGGACCCTAACAAGTGCTACCACCCTGTGTTAAGGTCGGCCTGGGAACGACAGCAATTGACAGGTGCTCCCACGCTCCTAAAAAGCTCCTATTTGCCGATTAGGGTCTTGTATTTTATCTTCACACACAGTTCTAGAGATAATTGTGCTGTATTCTCTGCTATATAGAAAAACTAGCAGCATGGCCCGGCGTTGCCCGTGCTTGATTAAAAAATCGTACGACTCATACAGTAATCGTTATCAATTGACTTAAAATATTTTTGCCCTTCCTTGCCTTTAAAAGAGTGCCCTTTGCGGTGCTGATGTTGCTACATGCCTTACTTCTTGCCTATCTCACACTGCAAATTTTTTCTAATCTCTATACTAAACATTAAATCTGTTACGAAAAAAGAACTAAACAAAATGAACACAAAACGATCAGCTTTAAAAAAGGACTCGTAACTGGAAAAACCGAATGAAAAAAGAATGTTAACAACAAATTCACACCCAACACAGTTCTGCGGAATCATAATCAACGTTGAGTTTAAGCAAGCGAATGAGCCAATTGGAGTAAAGTGGCATGCAGATTTAAATTTTTCCCACTTATGATGACAAATGCAGCTATCGATTTTTTTTTTTTGCATGTTAGCATGCTAGTTAACATTCGAGTCAGTCAGCTGTTGGCTCTCACGCTGTCCAATAGAATCTTCCTGCCTATTCGTGGCAGCCAGCTAACTTGGAGCATATGCATGTAAATTTTGGTGCAAATCCGTCGATAATTGCGACCGTGCACTCGTTACACACACACACATACACACACACATCCTGCCTTTTATAGATAAAGATTGATATTGCATAGCAGTTCACTACTGTTTTCATTTTTTTTCTAGCGACGTTTTTTCTGTTTTTTCTGATATTGTTGGCAAATTTACTATAAAAGTGTATTGTTGGTAATTTTTTTATAAAAATGTATCGTCGGTATTTTCATTATAAAAATGTATTTTTATTCTTAGTGTTTTGTGTATTTTTATGCTTTGTTTTTATTTTTGTTGGAAGATTCACTATTTTCTCACATGTGCTACCATACTGTGTAGAATATTCGTTAGCTTGCCAGTGGTCTAACACACAATTAGGCAAGTGTAGCCAAAGCTAAAATTGACTTGAGTCATTTCATGGAGAAATATATGGGTGAATAAAGACCACTCATGCAAATGTATTGGGCAGGTCCATTCTAGCAAAATGGACCAACCTAACTGATGTATTAGGCACTTTCCTATAAAATGAGGTAAAATCAGCTGGCTTGCTTTACAAGGAAACAGAAAAAGGCAGCCATGTTGGCAGGTAAGTCACTTGACTTCTACATACTGTGAACAACAGCAATTAAGTGGTGGTTCCACCCTACTCAAGTCCTCCAAACTCCTGATCAGAAGCCTTGCTGCCGGATGTATTTTATCGTCGTAGCCAGTACTAACCGTCAAATAGTTCAGTTCGAAAACCCTAGATTAGCCGAAAGGCCTGAACAGTAATGTGATCATACCATGGACAAAGCGAGTAAGTAATGAAGAAAACTTAAAGAAACAAAAATGACATTTATATTCAGAACAAGAAAGAGGCAGTTGGAAATTATTGGATATATTATGAGAAAGGAGGGCTCGGAGAATTTCGCACTCACAGGACATATAAAAGGCAAAGGAGAGAGAAAGGCAGCGAGTTACCTACCCGACGAGTGAATGGATGGCGGAACGGACGGCGAGAGTATTGACAAGAGAGAAACGTTGTTAAGGGTTCGAATGAATAGGCTGTGGTGAGCCATGATCGCCCACGTCTTGACCTTCTAAACAAGTTACTAAAATTACGTTTATAGTAATATATATATTGTTATGAATGGGTAATCATATTTTCCATATTAAACAGAACAGATATCTGGTGGTGACATTCTGTCTTCATGGAGAGTAGAACAAACTTAACCACCGGTCATTTGGTGATTAGGAACATCTAATGAAACCATAAAAATATTAGGTTCTCCTAAAATATACTTCCTTTATCCAATCTAGTCAATTTTCTCTTTTCTTCCTACCATACTTGACCTGTATACAGCTCCACACATTGTGTATATTTAGGCAGCACATTTTCATTCAAACAGGTTTGGATAAATCATAAAGACATATCATATCGATTAATTTTCATTGTGATCCTTTCAAGTTGACGGATTAATTTCTTGGCAGCTTTGAAAATTGATTAAGAAATATACCAACGTTTTTCTTTCAAATAGCTTTTATTTCCCTAAGTACTTTCAATCTCATCTGAGACCATCTTCAAGAGGTTAAGTTGTCTGTGAATATACATACATACATACATGTATAAAACCTTTTCCCTTCCCTCCAAGAATATGTGCTTAAAAAGTCTGTCTATATTTTTGAGATGAGGTATTATGTACATTATTTACATTATTCGGGCTATTGTCCTCATCTTGTCGCCATATTTATTACAACGTTTCGGCTGTTGTACGCTCCGGCCTTCTTCAGGTGATTGGAAACGGTTATTCGATAAACAAAATCTCGGCAGAGAGGTCATTTTTTTTCAAGTTCCACTAATGAAGAAAATTTTGGACCGGTAAACATTTTATCATATGTCTTCTCCGTGAATCTCTCCCTTTCGTTTTACCCTAATTGACCAATATAAAAAAATCATGTATATTTATGCATAATTTTAAATTATTCTCTCCTAGTTATATTTATTTTTATATATGGATATTCGCGTCGTGAGCCAACGCGTGAGTATTCTATCGACACATTACTGATGAGTCCTTTCTTGAGAGTAGAATCCAATTCTAGAGCCGCAAACTCTATTTCAGATACTGCATTGATAACATGGTTTCCGATTGCGACTGTTGGTCTCCCTTTTTGCACGTTTCTCAATGAGGAGACTTGTATACCTGTTCTCAAAGACATCTATGCCCTCTTTGCAAGTTCTCCTCCAGGTTGCACCGTCTTGGGTAGTACAGGCTTTGTGGCAGGGGTGATATCATCCCTGAAATAATAATAATGATAATAAAGGAGAATATGCTGTAAAACACAAAACAATAAGTGAAAAGAGGTGTTTTCAAATAACCAAGATGTTACTATGTTGTAAAGACATTGAAATGTAAATGTTACAGAAAGTTAATTTAGAACACGAAATACAATCTTTTGGTAAGTGTATAAATGATAATAGAAGATTACTGGAACAATGATAATTTGGAACTTTTAGAAAAAGAAATTGATTTTGACACTTTAAGAATCGAAGTGAAAATAAAGGATGTTTTGATTTAGAATTTATTTTTGAAACAAGACTGTAGTTTACAAAAAGCGGCTGAGTTTTTGATAGCAAATTGATTAAAAAAAAGAGTCTTGTTGTGAACCTTGGAAACCAATCGATGAAAAAGTAAATTGTTTACTCTCGGAGGAGTGAAATTGTACTTTGGAAGTATGTCAGTACGTTCGCACTAGAAAAACAGATACGTCACCAGTTCTCTATATAAAGAGGCGAGCCAACCGGAAGATAGGATAGTTTTGAGTTCGTCTATCTTCGAATGCAGTCGTACTGAGTGAAGAGATGCCAGAGATTGAAAAGAAAACGTCCGCTGTGTGTTGCTGAAACGGAGGGCGAAGAAGCGAAATACCGCCTCTAACATCTAAGTACTGCTACTACTAATATTACTACTACTAATACTACTACTACTAATATTACGACCACTGAGAACGGGAATATCGAAGCTTGTAGTAGATGCGCTAAGAACAGACTAAAAGGGTTAAAACGAAGGCTATATCTCTCCTTACCGAAATTATTCGAAGTATTTGTGTTTGTTTCGTTATTGTTCACATACAAGAAACTTTCAACTTTGTGTAACAAGAATTATTTTGTATGTGTATTTTCTTTTATATACATACAAAAAAAATTGTCCTTTCAAAATCGAATCGACTTGGTTATTTATTTTGCTGTTAATCCGATTCTCAATCGACGAACTCACAGTTAGACCAACAGAGAGCTTCCGGATTTTTACGATCTAATGACCAATCTACAGGATCAAAACAATCACAACTATTGCCTCACTGCTTCCTGCTTTCCAACTTGTCTGAAATCCTCTTCTATAGTCCCCGCTTTTAAGAAATCTGAAGAACCTTCTGACCCCTATAACTATCGCCATATTAATCTCCGACCGCATTTCGTCAAAGTGTTCGAGGCTTTAATCAATTCTGAAGTGGTTAAATTCTCATGACCTACTGTCTGACAAACAATATGGCTTCCATTTTGCCAGGTCTAATCCGTCAAAGCTGACAAATCTGTGGTTTACTGGGGGTTAAAAATGAATCATCGAATCAATAGCTGCATCTACTGGAAGGAAAGTTGGGCCACTGTGTCGTGCCAAAAAAATTTTCTCATCAGAGTCCATCTTGCACATTTACGAATCTACCATTCGTCCGTGCATTGAATAATGTTGTCGTATCTGGCCACGTGCTTCTGCTACTCATTTCAAGTTCATGACAAAATTCCCGCCTTGCTTGGGATGAAATTATTAAAAAATGAAATGAAAGGTGGGTTTATTGAAACGAGAGTTAACATTGGAAATCTTTAAAAATTTCTTCTTCTTTTTTTCGTTAGGTTCATGAGGAAATCTAGACTGAATTGTCAAGAAACATAACACAGGAAAGATAAAGACTGAATTCTAGTATTACCGACAGGCAGAATCAGAAAATCATCTTTTCTCGGTATCGTGTAACCTTTTCAAAGTCACCAATTTTATCGTTTCTATTTTTAAAGGTTGAATAGGTTGTTTTATCCTAAGAACGTCTTATTGGCCACTTGGTACACTGCATTGTCGCCTTGTTGGCTTATCTAGTCGGTTGATCACTCGGTGCGCAAGACATATGGTCATTATGCAAATTTTAGTTCGTCCAATGTGTATTGAATTTCGTTAATATATTTATAACAGAAAGTCAAAGATTATAATTTTAACTCCCCAATACGCCACTTTTTCTGACACCCACTCTTTCCCCTTCTACCTCTTCTTTTTCTATTTCTCCTTTCTTTCTGCTCTTTTGTCGCTTTCCTTTTTTATTTAATTTCTGGTCCGTTTTAGATTCTTTCTTATATACACCCTTTCTCTTTCTTCTCTACACCCTCTTCTTCTTTACCTTCTTTACATCTTTTTTATCCCTTTATTTCTCTTTTTGATCTCTTCTTCTTTTTCACTCTCTCTTTCCGCTTCAATCTCTCACCCTCAATTATTTCTTCGTTTTCATCTCTAGTTTCCTGTTATTTTTTCTTTTTCCTCTTTCCTGCAAACCTACTTTGTTGTTAACATCTCTGTTTTCTATTTCACCTTCCTTCTTCTTCTTGTTTTTTTCTTATGTTTCTTCTTCTTCTTCTTCTTCTTCTTCTTTTCTCAAATTATTTACTTTTATTTTTCTACTTTCTCCTCTTCTTTTATTACTCCTCTATTTATTCTTCTCCTACCTTTCTTTTTTTCTTTTATTTTTTATTGTTGTTTGTACTTCTACCCTCACCCTCTACTTTTTCTCTACTTCATTTTCTCTTTCTTTCATTGTTCCCTTCTTCTTCTTCTTCTTCTTCTTCTTCTTCTTCTTCTTTCCTTCATACTTTACTTTTATTCTCTCTGTTTTCTTGTTTGTCCCTTTCGTTTATAGCTCTCTACTTTCGTTTCCCTTTCTTTTGTAATTTCTGTTGTTGTTGTTTTTGTTGTTGTTGTTGTTCTTCTTCTACTACTACTACTACTACTGCTGCTACTACTACTCTCCACCTTTGTTATCTCTACTTTCTTCTCCCCTTCGTTTATTGTTCTTCTTCTTCTTCTTCTTCTTCTTCTTCTTCTTCTTCTTCTTCTTCTTCTTCCACCCTGTACCTTTTCATTCTCCACTTTCTTCTCACCTTCTTCTTCTTTCTTTTTTCTATTTCCTAAGTCTCTACTTTTTTCTTTTACTTCTTCTCTTCTTTTGTTATCTTCTTCATCTTCACTTTTGTTCTCTCTACCTTTTCCTATTGTTGTTTCTCTCTATCTCTCTATCTATCTCTCTCTCTCTCTCTCTCTCTCTCTCTCTCTCTCTCTCTCTCTTTTTCTTCTCCACACCCCCTCTTCTTCTTCGACTAAATATTTCATCGGTTCACTCTTAGTTAATTGTGTCTTCTCACCTGATTCGGATAGTCAGCTTTCAATTAATTCACCTTCACGCTTTTATCTCAATGATAATGAACTCGTTATCTTTAAAACTTGTTTTGTCTGCCTTCATCGGCACGGCGGTACCGACCAAATAGTCGCCCACAAATCCGAGCGGCGCCATTAGTCGACAGAACGTTGCAGCTCACTTCAAACGCAAGTACACGAATCAGGTAAGTTGGACTCCAATTGATAATGAGTACAACCATCGATAATCACCTTCTAGATGTTCGGTTATGATTTAATTAACCAACTTACTGAATTTAACACTGGCCCTCCTTCAGCTATAAACTCGAATGAAATGACTTTTTCGGTTGAAGAATTACCTTAAAAATGAATATAAATCATTTAGCCGTTCATCGTTTTCTGTAACAATTTGAAAACCTGTCAGTCAGTTATGTGCCATGCGTGATACACGCTTAGACGATCATGTATCTAAAGATACATGACTGACGAGGCAGACTTTTTCCTGCATTAGGTTGCAATTTATTTCTTTGGTAGACCAGTTGACATCCAAGGCTATAGAACCCGGTCTGTCCTGCTATTTACCCATAGCTGGAGGGAGAAGAAGAGGAGTCATACCTTTCCCAAGTGTATCAGCACATTAGTGAATGTAATAGATTCAACTGGAATTTGAACTCGGCTCTTTGTTTCCTCAATCCAAACCGCTAGCCATTACATCACCGTGCCTAAGAATAAGGATTTCTGTGTGATTTGACAGAGGTCAACTCATGTAAAAACAAGACGTGCTAGAAGGCATCAGCTATTTACTGGAGCGATACTATGAGCCGAATATTTTTATAGATGATAATAACGTGTTCTTACAGTTTTGAACGAGAAATCAGGTTGTCAAAGTACGGCTCAACTGACTTCATTAGCAACTTGAGTTTCCCAGAATACATATAAAATATGTGGTTCTCTGTGAGCTTTCTATACAATAAACCCGAGATATCCGTGGTGTGAAAGCGATATTTTTTTTTAAGCGGAAGCATTGCAGAACACGATATAGAAATCTGACAAAAAAGTGACTTCAGCTTAAGAGCTATACTGAGAATGGGTCATCCTAAAATTTTATTTCTCGCTGTCAAAGTCCTTAAACTTGTTAACTCGCCTTTTTAATCATTTTACCCCATCAAGCAAGCCAGTAAAACACGGAGGTCACAAAGAATGAAAGAAATTGAGAAAAATATTACTGAGGGGTGGGAACAATAAAAAGAACAAGATTTAAGGAAACAGAACATGACGATTGACGTTGCATTTAAAATTTTGGAGATTACAAGAAAGCAAGAAGATTATAAAAAAAAACAAGAATATTTATGGAAAAGGCAGCGGGGATTTACGATAAGACGGTGGGAAAGTGATCGAAGTCGATGTGCTAGGTCAGCCAGATAACATTGCAGAGTCTTTTTTGAATTTTGACAAGAATCTCTAGATACATAGCAGAAGCACCAGACCAGTTGAAGCATCAATATTCAATGGACAAGTGAATAGTATACTTATAAATATGCAATATTCGAAAGAGAAAAATTATCTAGTACGAAACAGTGGACCCACTTTCACATGCAGCTTCATCCTAAGTATAACGATAAACTACATCCGGCAGCAAGACCTCTGATCTGGAGATTGGAGGTTTTGAGGAACATGGATTGACCTATTAATCTCTGTTGTAGTAGCACCTGTTAGGCTCCCAGCTATAAACAAATATCTAAACAAAAAATCAATAAAACTAGCAGCCGTATCCAGATGGTCGATCAGAAAAAAGCGTTCAATTAAAATGGTGCAAAAACAGCACCATGTTCAAATGTAACAGCATCTATCTTCTTCAATTACTTTAAGGTACTTTCATTAAAAAAAAACATTTTGAATTAATGTAGTTACTGATATAACAGAAGTAGTCTGCATTTATTCAATGAAAGTTAGCCGAGGAAATGAAGGGGTAAAACAGGCAACATGAAGACCCACATCAGACCACAATTATTTTGGAGTTTTTGACATTCAATTTGTCAGTGCGCTACCAGGAATCTAAAAGAGGATATATTTATAAAGCAATTGCTAAGTTTGATGAAAATTGGTTGAAAGATCAACGAAAAATAAGAAAGAAAGCAGTAAAAATCGCCATTAATCGCTGTTTACGCCAATTTTCATTGTATGGGTGAACTTAATTATAAAGTTAAATAACTGTTAAACCATCAACTTATTGTTGGCTAAAATTGAGGGAAGTTTGTATTACATTGTTTTTAGCTTAAAATTTGTGTTGAAATCGATTTTTCGCTTTTCGTGGTTTTTCGTTAAACGCAGTGGCGTGGAAATAAAAATAAGGTATCTTTGAGCTCGTCATGATGTGAATAACCTACATACCGAGTTTGAATGAAATCGGAAGAAAAAAGTTGAGTTTATCGGCTTTATCGATTATTTGTTTTTTTTAATTATCGATTTTTACGCTACCTCTTACATTGTACAATGTATGTGACAAGTTTGGTCAAAATCAGTTGGATGGATCTCGAGTGAAAAGGTATCACACAGACAGACAGACAGACATCCTCTGTTTTATATATAGAAATATCCAGCAATACATTTTTGCTAAAATGTATTGTTGGTTATTTTACTATAAAAATAAACTCTTGATTTTCTTGGTTTCAATAAAAATCAATGCAACATTAAATATATATAGAGATAAATAGATATAGATATAAATATGTTTTTATAGTAAAATTGCCAACAATACATTTTATAATCTACAAAATACATATCTAAAAACCGTACTTTTACTCTGAAAGTATAAATTATGTACCAAATATCTTTAGTTAAAAGCACAAAATTACGTTCAAATTACTTCTGCATTAAACAACCCAGAGATGAAAAAATTCAACCGACATGAAAGAACTCTTTTATTAATTGATAAATCTTATAATTTCTTAAATCAAACTGTATTCCAAAATCTAATTTCAACAAAACTCCTACGAAAAACACACGTATCATCACCTGTAGTCATTCTGTCCACACAAACAGGTATACACATAACAGTATCTACAATGTATTCAATTGCAAAAGCAGAATGACATATATCATATTTTATTAGTTCATCGCTCAAAAGAAAATTAAATTTCGGCATTAAGTGACCCATGAAGAGTTGATATGTCACTGACCAAATAAATCAATCATTCACTTCATAGCAGCAGTCTTGTCAATTAAGCGGGAAGGTGCAATGGTTATTCTCCTCTGTGATACTTAGACTTTATGAATTTCAGCGCAGTACTAGATTGGCGGCAAGGTCTCATCATTTTACAGTTGAAATGACTAGATCCAAGCGCCAATTCTATGTTAACAGTTTATTTTGTCTCCCTTCTCGCTTGTACACTGGCGAAAATAAGTTTAAGACCGATGATTAATGTTTTATTCATTTCAGAATGTTTCTAACGACACAATATGAATTCGTTTTATTAAGTACGATTTACGCAGAATTTATTTCTCTACCGAATGATGTAAAAATTGTATATTTTTCTACAACTTAAAAAATTTTAATGCTGCTGGATTAATCTAAATTATCCAAATTTGCCGGCAACATAAATTTATCACCGCATATCCATTATGCAAATTATTTGCTAAATGGTTGGTCACATGGCTGGTCATTAATGCATTATATAGTGTAATAACTGGGCATTGTTATACAATTAATTCGCTATGGGAAAGCGTCATAGTCTTAGTCCAGTGACTAGATTAAAAATAGTGTTACTTCATTAACAAAATGTTTCCTTTATGATCATAATCAAGGAATTCAATTGCAGCAAAATGGTTTGTGTTTTGTGGAAACTTTACCAGGATACTGGACAATATAAGGATAAACAAAGATCAGGAGCCCCAAGAAAAACAACAGTACAACTGGATAGACGAATTCAAAGTCTTTCCGAAGCTATCTAAATGCTGACGGCCGTGGATATTTGCCACAAATTATCTGGTAAAACTGGCGTTCCATCCTAAATGTGTCAAAAAGACGGTGCAAACGGGAGGTGGAGGTGTAATGGTGTGGGTGTGTTCAATATCTTTGGTATTGGTCCAATTGTTAAAGTTGATGGGAAATTCAACAGTGTGGGCTATATACAGCTAGTTAAAGAACATGTTCTGTCATATTTGTCTGACCAAATGCCACCTGGAGACATTTATCAACAAGATAATAGTCCCATTCACAAAGCCAAAAAAGTGATACAATTTTTTCATCACCATAATATGGATGTCATTGAGTGGCCTCCACAGAGCCTGGATCTTAATCCATTTGAAAATTCATGGAATTATATATCTAAAAGAGCTCACGCTAAAAGAAACGACAAATTTGGCTTAATTCTACGTTTATATTAAGCAAATATGACAGAGCATTCCAAATGATTTTTGTTCTCACTTATCAAGCTCGATTCTTAGGCGATATGAAGCTGTGATTTAAGGGTGTTGCAGCAAAATACGACACTTGAGAAAAATAAATGAAATAGGCAAGAAAAATAAAAGTTGTATATGCAGAGACCCGACAGTTTATTTAGCAACAGTTAGAGTTAGACACGACATTATTTTCAATGTAACCGGCGGCGGCGGTTACATTTCAAGACGGAGGCGACACACGCTTTGGCGACCATGTACTTGTCCATAGCGGCGAACGCCTCCACGATAGCAGCATTCATATAGTCGACCGTGTTGTGGGCGTGCTTGTTGGACTTGGCCTCGATCACGCCCCAGAAGAAATAGTCAAGGGGGTTGCAGTAGGGTGAGGAAGGCGGCCACAAGTCCGTCGATCAGTGGTGAGAAACATTGTTGAGCAGCCACACCTAGGTCATCTTGGCCTTGTGTGCAGGAGCGGAGTCCTGCTGGAAGACGTAGAGGCGTCCATCCAGGGCTTCACCACGCTCCTCAGCACCTCCTGGTAGATCTCAGCGGTGACTCTCAGTCCCTTTTGAAAGAAGAACGACATCCC